ACCCTGCTCATGACTATCAAAGAGAGTTTGTTGAAGGCCGGTTTATTTCCGGGTTGTGGTGAAGGTTGCCACTTTTTTTCAATTCTACTGACTGGTTGCCCTTTGTTGAAGGCAGGTATTCAATGCCTGATGGATGACAAAGAGATCCTGTTTGAGAAGACCTCTGTTCCGACTGTTTCATGTGAAAATGTTGCTATCATAACCATTTTCGCAAATCCTCCCAGGGCCTCCGCGAAGAGACCCGTCAGGATTACATCAATTCCTAAGGTGACTTCGTTGATCATAACCATTCCTGGGCCAATCCCATACTACTCGGACAAAGCTGTTCCTTGGAACTATGGGGCCGACATCTATTACTACAGCGTAAAGTAGGACATGCCAGCCTTTGAAGACAAGATTGCTGAAAATGCTGATTCCGACATCGTCAATATTGCCGGAACCAGTAAAATAACAAGAAGTGGAAGAGTGTTCTCCCCTGAGATTTCTCCTCCAAAGACTGCTATCGGACTTGTGATAATTCCTGCTGTGGTTCCACCCAAGACTACTACTGCAATTCCAGTAATCACTCCTGTTGACCCTCCCACCATCGAGTCGGCCGAGACTCGAGGCAAAGACATGCTGATTGAGCCTGTCCTGACAAAAGCCAATTTAGTAACCCTACCAGAAGCTTCCGAAAGAAATGGAGGAAATTTTGAAGATAATAAAGAAGAGCGACTACAATGTGGTCGAGCAGCTGGGGCAAACCCCATCCAAAATTTCTATGCTGGCTTTGTTGTTGTGTTCCGAGGCCCATGCGAAGGCTTTGGTTAAGTTTCTGAAGATGACTCACGTGCCACAAGAGACACCTGCTGATCAGTTTGAAGATTGTGTGGCTAGTCTGACTGCTGATAATGGCTTGGGTTTTTCTGACGCAGAACTGACACCAAAAGGGAGGAAGCATAATGATGCTCTTCATGTTTCCGTTGAATTCAGGGGCACGACTCTAGCCCATGTTTTGGTAGATATTGGCTCCTCGTTGAATGTGCTACCTAAAAATGCTCTGGACAGATTGGACTGCGAAGGCTTGACCTTGAAGCCTAGCAATATAGTAGTGAGAGCTTTCGATGGTTCGAAGAGGATGGATCACGGGGAAGTGGATGTCCCTATCAAAGTTGGTTCCCAGACCTTCGACTCCATTTTCTATGTAATGGATATCAAACCATCATATTCTTGCTTGTTGGGATGCCCTTGGATACATGGGGTTGGGGCTGTTACTTCTACCCTCCACCAGATGTTGAAGTACCCATTAAGAGGAAAGATTGTCACTGTGCATGGTGAAGAGGAGTATATGATCAGTCACTTAAACTCCTTCAGGTACATAGCTATGGATGGCGAGTTCATCGAGACTCCTTGCCAGAACTTTGAAGAGGTACCACAGATTATGGCTACAGCAGAAGCTACCACCAGTACTCCGAAGGTCACCAAATCTTCCTTGAAGATGGCTTCTCTCAAGGATGCACGGGCAGTGGTTGAAGAAGGTGGGTCTACCATTTGGGGTCAGCTCCTGGTTATTCATTACAAGTCTGATAAATATGGTTTGGGCTTTACTACAAGTGCTCAAAGGGCTGTTCGTCGTGCTCGGGCTGGAGGACCTCCCCTACGCATCAGCAATTATGGGGTCAATGCACTTGAAGACAGTGATGGTGGTTCCGACATTGACAGCTGGATCTTCCCAACTACCAACGGTGGACTCAGTAACTGGACTGCCAAGGACTTTGTACCGATTAATTTTGTTCAGGAGTAATTGTATTTTGATTTTTTCGGATATGTAATTTAAAAACAATATAAACTCTATAGCCATATGTCTTACCCGGGGCACAATGGTTCTATTTGTGAGGGTTATCATGTTTCATTTTCATATGACATCAATAAAGCATTGGACGTTTGCATACAATTTTTGTGCTCTTTGTCTTTATTTTCTTTTATTTTGTCTATACAGATATGCTCTTACACACACTCACGTATCCAAATGCAGATCCATATCCACTCTGGATCCCATTGATAACAGTTCTGCTACTGCTCATTATGACTTTGAAAATCCGATCAACCAAGCTGAGGACGAACGTGAGGAAGATTGTGAGGTACCCGAAGAACTTGCTAGACTATTACAGCAGGAAGAAAGGGCCATACAACCTCATGAAGAGCCGGTTGAGACAGTGAACTTGGGTACATAGGAAGATAAAAAAGAGGTTAAGATAGGTGCAAATCTGGAGCTTATTGTCAAACAGCGGTTGGTGCAGATGTTGCATGAGTATGTTGAAATCTCTGCCTGGTCATATAAAGACATGCCGAGACTAGACATGGATATAGTGGTTCATCGTCTACCGATTAAAGAAGACTGCCCTCTGGTAAACAAAAGGTTCGTCATATGCGCCATGAGATGTCAGAGAAGATTAAAGAAGAGGTTATGAAACAGTTCAACACCGGGTTCCTAGTCGTCACCTCCTATCCGTAGTGGGTTGCTAATGTGGTTCCAGTACCTAAGAAAGATGGTAAAGTACGAATGTGTATGGATTACAGAGACCTGAATAGGGCAAGCCCCAAGGATGACTTCCCGCTTCCCCACATCGATGTTCTGGTTGACAACACCACACAACACAAAGTCTTTTCCTTCATGGACGGTTTCTCTGGCTACAATCAGATCAAGATGGCACCTGAAGACATACAGAAGACAACCTTTGTTATATAGTGGGGAACTTTCTGCTACAAGGTGATGTCGTTTGGGTTGAAGAATGTTGGGGCAACTTATCAGTGAGCTATGGTAGCTCTGTTCCATGACATGATTCACCATGAGATAGAGGTTTACATAGATGACATGATAGCCAGGTCTCAAACTGAAGAAGAACACCTTGATCATCTACAAAAGTTGTTTGATAGCTTGAATACGTACAAGCTGAGGTTAAATCCGAACAAGTGCACCTTCGGGGTAAGGTCTGGTAAGCTTCTGGGATTCATCTTCAGTGACAAAGGTATTCAGGTAGACCCTGCAAAGGTGAAGACCATACAAGAGATGCCAGCTCCCTGCACTGAGAAGGAAGTTAGAGGTTTTTTGGGACGCCTAAATTGCATTGCCCAATTCATTTCACATCTGACTTCTACTTGTGAGCCGATCTTCAAGCTTCTGAAGAAAGATCAAGTGGTAAAGTGGAATGACGAATGCCAGGTAGCCTTTGACAGAATCAAACAATATCTCTAAGAACCTCCTATTCTGATGCCTCCGACTGAAGGAAGACCTTTGATAATGTACTTAACAGTGCTAGATAATTCAATAGGGTGTGTGTTGGGGCAGCATGACGAGTCTGGTCGAAAAGATCACGCAATATACTACCTTAGCAAAAAGTTTACCGACTACGAAACACGATATTCACTGCTCGAGAAAACTTGTTGCCCTTTGGCATCGGCTGCTCTCCGACTGAGACAGTATATGTTGACCCACACTACTTTGTTGATATCTAAAATGGATCCGATCAAGTACATTTTCGAGAAGCCCGCTCTCTCCGGAAGGATAGCAAGGTGGAAAATGATCTTAACTGAGTACGACATCCAATACACAACCCAAAAGGCAATCAAGGGAAGTGTGTTAGCTGATCATTTGGTGCATCAGGCCGTGGATGACTACCAGTCCATGAATTTCGAGTTCCCAGATGAGAATATCATGTTGGTAACTGTAGCGATAAAAAATGTAGCGGGGTAAATCGGAGATCAAATTATTGATTAATTCGTCTCGCAAAAGCAAGAGTCGCCACCGCGCTTTATTATTTCCAAGGGAAAAGGGGAAAGAGCGAAATAAAACCCTAAATATGCAATGTAAAATAATACTTTTAAAAAAGTAAAAATACAAGGCGTTTTGAAAAGAGATCTTATGGTTCGGGGGTTGGTTATACAGTGGGAAGGTATTAGCACCCAATGTATCTATAGTACTCTATAGGAACCTTTTGAAATATTTGTTTATTAAAATGTTCGTTTGATTAAAATAAATTGTTTTGGCCGAAAAGGGGTACGGACGGGTTTTTGAAGGTGCGACGACCTAATGTCGAAGTTTTGACTTAAAAGGTATAAGTTTTGGAAAAGATTGAAGATTTGGAAAAATTATCTTAAGTTTTTGATGAATGAGGGTATTCGCACGATGTTTTTTTTGATGACATAAAGTCGACAAAAAATTAGACAATTCCCTTGGATTGAAACGGACGAGAGATACAAAGATTACATGATCGAAAAGAGATTAAACAACTAACAATTAATCAAAATAAAATAAAACAATTATAATATATTTTTTATGGCGCAAACAAAATATAAAGCTCAAATAATCGAAAAAGAAATTAAACAGCTAACAACTAATCAAAATAAAAGAAAGACAATTATAATAATTTTTACGATATTTTTTTATGAGGTAAAATAATTAAATATAAACCTATTTTTATATATTTGTATTTTTTGGGGAAATTTTAAATAATAAGACAAAGTTAACTGGCCTAAAACAAAAGGGTGAAAAAAAAAAGAATAAATAGATTTCAATAAGAATCGAACTTAGGACCCCAAGCATGTCAAACTAACGTGCTAACCAACACACCATACTACTCATTCGTTATTTACCTTTTTATTAAGCTAAAAAATATATAAAAAAAAGTAATGGAAATGGGTTATCAACCCAATGGGTCAACCCAATTGGGAGAAGAATAGAAAGGTTTTTTTTAGGAACCCTAAATAAAGAGCCGCCGCTGGCTATTAGCTTGGGAAGAAAAAAATTATAATTAATTAATTTCCCTAGAAACCAATTACTCTATCTCTCTCTTCTATTCATAAATTAACCGTAAACAAACGCAAACTCTCAGTTTTTCAAGATCTACTCTTATAGATAGATTTCAAACCCCTTTTCTCTTCTCATTCCAAATTCTCATTCATTCAACAAAGAGAAAAATTTGAATAAATTTCACATCGGTATTATTTTAATCTCCGTTACGATGAAATCACTGTTCAACCGAAAACCCATCGTCATCCTCAACGGCATCACGCTCAACCTCACTGTCCGTGCATACACGCGCGCGCCTGGCCGGGGAATTGGAAGAAGTATTCAAGAAATTCGACGTCAATGGCGACGGGAAGATCTCGGCCTCCGAGCTGGGATCCATAATGGGAAGCTTAGGGCAGCCGGCAAGCGATGAAGAACTGAACAACATGATCCGCGAGGTCGACGGAGACGGCGACGGTTGTATAAGCTTACCGGAATTCATTGAGTTGAATATGAAAGGTGTTGATTCAGACGAGATCTTGGAGAATCTGAAGGACGCGTTTGCGGTTTTTGATATGGATGGGAACGGGTCGATTACGGCAGAGAAGCTGAATACGGTTATGAGGGATTTAGGGGAGTAGTTCAGACAGGTAGATGAAGATGACAGTGAATTTGGGTTTTTGCAAAGGGTTAAGGGTTTTCAATTTCAGGTACAAGTTTTTTTTTCTAATCTCAGCATCTTTTCTTCTACTCCGTTTTCCCTATGATTTTGAATGTTTTGTTGATGTTTGTAGAGATGAACTATGAATGTTGGCTTAGGATGATATGATAACAGAGGAGGGAGGTCGAATATCACAGTGATCCACTTGTTTGGAAGAACAAGTGGAGGGGGTTTGTTGTTCGTGGCAGAACAGAGGGAGAGTAAAGTAAAGTTCAAGGATGATGATTTTTTTTAGAGGGTTCCAGAATTGTGCAGAGATTTGACGTTTGAAATATACAGGGTGTATTGAAGATCTAAAAACGGCGAAGTACTTTTCTATTTTTCCTACTGATCTCTCTCTTCTCGTCTATGATCTCCAATATCAGTATGTTTATTTCTGGTTATTGGCCTCTATTTTTATAGTTTATAGATTTGTGAAAAAAAAGTATTGAAGTTTTATGAGGATTTATGTATTTAAGATGTGAATTCTCAATTTTCAACTCAAAATTCTTACTCTTTATTTTCTATCTTTTGAAAACAGCAGCAATGATTTTTTTATTTTTTCAGGTTCACTTGGTTTGATATCACAGCAGTTCCATAGTTTCACAATTACAACGAAATCAAGATAAATAGTAACTACAGCAACAAACAACAACAGGGCATGGTAATAAATAGAAGGGCATATAAAGAAGAAAGACTCACCCGATCAACGCTAGTCTGACGAGTTCCCGTTTCTAAAAAAAAAACCTTCGACAGGTAAACTAAAATTTCTCCCCCTTTTCTTTCTGAGATTTGTTGAAATTGAAACTAAAAAAAATTGTTGCACTGAAGGTTGTTGTTGTTCGACAGTAAATGGAGTATATCACAAGAGAAGAAGATGGAGGGATTTTTGGTTGAGAATTGTAGAGATTTCCTTGTTGTTATTGTTGGATGAAGTGGTGAAACAGAGAGAATATTGTGGAGTATTTTGAAAGAAGTTAGCAGTTGTTGGTGGTTTTTCCTGTGTAGTTTTTTCTGTGTAATGTATTCTCCTTTATAATGGGACAATCTGGTTTCTTTCTGGTGTGAACAAGTTTGGTTTTTTGAATAAACATTATTATGTTACCGTTTTTTTGGACTGTTATGACAGGTTGGTAGCAAGTTTTAGTACAGGGCAGCAGCATGACATGTTGACAGCAGCATAACATGGATATATTGTAGCATGAAGAGAATGGTCCCAAATTGATTTCTTATTATGACAAAACAACAAAAACTATTGAAACACAATAATAATAATAATAATAATAATAATAATAATAATAATAATAATAATAATAATAATAATAATAATAATAATAATAATAATAATAATAATAAAAGGAAAAAGATTAAACTAAAATTTGCAAAGAACAATAAAAGAAATTATAATTAATTTTAATTTTAACAATAACCCAACTTAACAATTGAATTAAAATCAGAATCAAATCAAGACTAATATTGAAAGAAAGAAGCAAAAATTATAATAACTAAAAGAATAAAAGGAAAATATATTAACTATATATTTTATGATTTTTGAATTAAAGTGAAATGCTAAAATAAAATAATGATAACACATATTTTTTTGAGATTTTTTTACTAAATTAAATCTAAAAGATTATAATTTTGGCTTAAATGATACAAGAACAAAAACTAAATGAAACTTAAGGAAACTAATTTTTTTATTTTGAATATTTTGAATAAAAAACATAAATAAAATGAAAATAGCATGAACTAAATATTTTTTTAGGATTTCTTTTTTATGGAAATAAGAATAAAAGAAAGATGATGTAAAATGTATGGTCGGACAAAACATAGTCCAAAATTAAGAATCAAATTCCTGAAACGACTTCTAACGTTAACAATTTCGTGGCTTCTCAATGCATAATTTGCCCTTGACTTGTAAAGGAAAGTTGTAGATGATGTCAAGAAAAAACAGGTGCAAGAACAACCTCTCAAAAATGTCGAAATCTGAAGAAGTTATGAAATCTTGAAATCTGACCCGAGAAATGGCAAAAAAAGGTCGAATCGCTTGTGAACACTCGCTATGTGATAATGCAGATGGGAGGTGGGATCTTAGGTCAAAATTTGGGGTACAACAGCTGCCCCTATTTAAGTTTCTTCTATCCGGAGATATGAAGATTAAAATCTTCGTGTCGACGAGATTGAAGGTACTTAAATACATAATTACGCAAATTTTGTCCTAAGATGTCGCCCTTATGTTTGATATGACTGCAGTGATTGAATTCACTGAGAAAGATATTGTATGAAACAAGACAATGTCGGAGGAATCGAACACCAACAAAACACAAAGACATGGATTATACATTACTGGGGAAACAAGCTATCGACTTCAAATGACAGACGCTTGACGGCGAATGAAATTGAGGGAATACGACCTCTGACCCTAACAAAGAAGGCATCTTGCATAGGCCATAAAACAGATTATTGACCCTAAAAATAACAGTGAGTTCACGACCCAAGGCCAGCGATAGACAAAAAATATCAATCTTGCTGATGATGGATTACCGACTTCTGAAGGTAAAGATCCGTAACAAACTTCTCTGCGAGATTTCCCGAAAGATACTCATTAATGCTGAAATAATAAGATTGTAGATACACAAGCTGCTCAAATAAAGAAGCTGTCACTTGCTGTCTTCCCAAAAATATTATGACATACAAGCTGCTCAAATAAAGAAGCTGCCACTTGCTGTCGTCCAGGGATGTCAATAACATGCAAGTTGCTCAAATAAAGAAGCCGCCACTTGCTGTTTTCCAAGAAAATACCAATAACATACAAGCTGCTCAAATAAAGAAGCTGCCGCTTACTGTCGTCCAAAGAAAATACCGATAACATACAAGTTGCTCAAATAAAGAGGCTGCCACTTGCTGTCGTCCAAAGAAAATACCGATAACATACAAGTTGCTCAAATAAAGAGGCTGCCACTTGCTGTCGTCCAAAGAAAATACCGATAACATACAAGTTGCTCAAATAAAGAGGCTGCCACTTGCTGTCGTCCAAAGAAAATACTGATAACATACAAGCTGCTCAAATAAAGAGACTACCACTTGCTGTATTCCAGAAAGTAATAACGTACAAGTTGCTCAAGTAAAGAGACCGCCGCTTGCCGTTTTCCGAAGAATAATAACGTACTGGTAACTCGTGAGGAGCTGCTGCTTGTCGCTTTCAAAAAAATAAATGACGCACTGGTAACTCGTGAGGAGCTGCTGCTTGTCGCTTTCAAAAAAATAAATGACGCACTAGTAGCTCGTGAAGAACTGCTGCTCGGCGCTTTCAAAAAAGTAAATGACGCACTAGTAGCTCGTGAAGAACTGCTGCTCGGCGCTTTCAAAAGAAGTAAATAACGCACTAGTAGCTCATGAAGAACTGCTGCTCGGCGCTTTCAAAAGAAGTAAATAACGCACTAGTAGCTCATGAAGAACTGCTGCTCGGCGCTTTCAAAAGAAGTAAATAACGCACTAGTAGCTCATGAAGAACTGCTGCTCGGCGCTTTCAAAAGAAGTAAATAACACACTAGTAGCTCATGAAGAACTGCTGCTCGGCGCTTTCAAAAGAAGTAAATAACGCACTAGTAGCTCATGAAGAACTGCTGCTCGGCGCTTTCAAAAGAAGTAAATAACGCACTAGTAGCTCATGAAGAACTGCTGCTCGGCGCTTTCAAAAGAAGTAAATAACGCACTAGTAGCTCATGAAGAACTGCTGCTCGGCGCTTTCAAAAGAAGTAAATAACGCACTAGTAGCTCATGAAGAACTGCTGCTCGGCCCTTTCAAAAGAAGTAAATAACGCACTAGTAGCTCATGAAGAACTGCTGCTCGGCGCTTTCAAAAGAAGTAAATAACGCACTAGTAGCTCATGAAGAACTGCTGCTCGGCGCTTTCAAAAGAAGTAAATAACGCACTAGTAGCTCATGAAGAACTGCTGCTCGGCGCTTTCAAAAGAAGTAAATAACGCACTAGTAGCTCATGAAGAACTGCTGCTCGGCCCTTTCAAAAAGTAACGTACAAGTTGCTCATGAAGAGCTGCCGCTTGTCGTTTTCCAACGGTGTCTATAACGTACAAGTTGCTCATGAAGAGCTGCCGCTTGTCGTTTTCCCAAAAAACAAACAGAAGGAAATTGCGAGGATATTGGCAGAGAATAAAATCCTCGTCAAAGAGAACCCTGAATCAATCCTTCCCGAGGTCATATACTTAAATGTGCCAAATAAATGCACCAACTGTCTAGGTCGCAAACTCACTGGGGAAAATCAATAAGATAGCCTATGCAAGAGGCAACAACTTCATCCAGGGATAAACTAGAGAGAAAACAGTCAAACAAGACTCCACCCAATGAGAAAGTAACTCAATTGGGGATTCTTCCTATCCAGACATGGACAAAGTAGGCTAAACCAAAAATCATCCATGAGGATTAGCTCAGTTGGGGAATTTAGAAAGGAAGCACGTTTTCTGCCTAAGCTAACTTTCTACCTGGAAAGAACATGTGTACGTTATTTGAATAAACAAAGTACGACCCAAAAGTCAACGGCAAATGTGGGTGTGCGTGATATGAATGTAAATGAGTAAATGAATGTTATGCTGACAAAACAGACAGATGGAATATCTTGAAGATAATAAGATGTCACAGCATAATAGATACTTGGCCAATCTTGAAAAAGATGGAAAATAACTGGAACTGGAAACACAAAGCAACGTCGGAGCGTAACGCTATAAGGCTCAAGTCTTTTAAGGAGAAAAGCATCCAAATCCAATCTTCTAACACCAATAGACCACGGTATGAGACAAAGCGTACCACACTTCAGAAATCGCCCAAACAAAGGTAGCTAAAACAACACTTAGCTGGAACAACTGGGGAGTCACCAAACTTAGTACTCCGAGAAGCGCAAGTTTACACAACCAACACTTCAAGACGATTTTAAAAGAAAACGAGTCCCTCATACAAGTATAAGTTACTGCACTGTTTTGCATTTCATGGCTTGACCACCCATGGAACAAACTGTTAATATTCCTTTCGTTGTTCACGACACTTTTTCTAGAAAATAAGAATATTTTAAATACTTTGTTTCAAATATTGCCGTAAAAATTAAAATTTTGCCCACATAAGGTAAATGCTCAAATTTCATTAATAAGGTGGGAGTTCGCTAACAACGCGACTCCAACGATTTACAAAAATGTGGGAAATAGTACATGAAATAAAAGGTTATACAAAAACAATGATCATTATTCTCCCTAACAACTTTGAATTCCAGGATGTGCTCAGATGCCAAGATTAATTTGACCAGAAGTTTGCCTAAGCGAAATACTTCTTGACTGCATCGGCGTTCATGGGACGCGGAAGATCTTCACCGTTCATATTGGTGAGAATCATGGCACCTCCAGAGAAAACTTTCTTATCAACATACGGTCCTTCATAATTCGGAGCCCACTTGCCCCTAGAATCAGGTTGGAAAGATAATATTTTCTTGAGTACAGGGTCACCTTCTCTGAACTCGCACGGTCGAACCTTCTTATCAAAAGCCTTCTTCATCCTTTGCTGATACAACTGACCGTGACACAAAGCTGTCAATCTCTTTTCTTTGATTAAATTCAACTGATCGTATCTACTTTGACACCATTCAGCCTCAGAAAGTTTAGCTTCCATCAACACTCTCAAAGACGGAATCTCCACCTCCACGGGGAGTACTGCTTCCATACCGTAAACTAGGGAAAAAGGGGTTACGCCTGTTGAAGTTCGAACTGAAGTTCGGTACCCGTGCAGGGCAAACGGAAGCATTTCATGCCAATCCTTATAAGTTACCACCATCTTCTGGACAATCTTCTTGATGTTCTTGTTAGCAGCTTCAACAGCCCCATTCATCTTCGGTCTGTAAGGAGAGGAGTTATGATGTTCGATCTTGAACTCTTCACAAAGCTCCTTCATCATCTTGTTATTCAAATTCGAACCATTATCAGTGATGATCTTGCTCGCGATACCGTATCGACAAATGATCTGATTCTTGATAAATCTGACTACCACCTGTCTGGTTACATTAGCATAAGATGCTGCTTCCACCCATTTGGTAAAATAATCGATCGCTACCAAGATAAAACGATGACCATTTGAAGCTTTGGGTTCAATCATCCCAATCATATCAATGCCCCTCATAGAGAAAGGCCAAGGTGAAGATATAACATTGAGGAGGGTCGGCGGCACGTGCATCTTGTCCGCATAAATCTGGCATTTATGACATTTCTTCACATATTTGCAGCAGTCGGATTCCATAGTCATCCAATAGTAACCAGCTCTCAACATCTTTCTAGCCATTGCATGTCCATTGGCATGAGTGCCAAAGGATCCTTCGTGTACCTCTTGCATCAGCATGTCTGCTTCACGTCTGTCTACACATCTGAGCAAGACCATGTCGTAATTCCTCTTATACAACACTTCTTCATTGAGAAAGAAACTGCTTGCTAATCTTCTCAACGTCTTCCTATCTTTGTTGGATGCCCCGGGTGGGTACTCTTGAGTTTGAAGAACTCGTTTAATGTCATAGAACCACGGTTTGTCGTCGGTGACCTCTTCCACTGAAAACACATGAGCAGGTCTGTCAAGGCGCATAACTCGGATTGTAGGCACGTCGTTCCAATCATTCACTCGAAACATGGAAGACAAAGTAGCTAAAGCATCAGCCATTTGGTTCTCATCTCTAGGGATATGATGTAATTCCACCTTGTTGAAGAAAGTTAACAACCTTCTAGCATAGTCTCTGTAAGGGATCAAACCAGGATGACGAGTCTCCCACTCTCCTTTGATTTGGTTAATCACCAATGCCGAATCTCCGTAAATACTAAGAATTTTAATCCTAAGGTCCACTGCTTCTTTGAGACCCATAATACATGCCTCATATTCCGCCATGTTGTTCATGCAGTCAAACTTCAGTCTCGCCGTGAACGGGATATGAGTACCTCGGGGAGTAACGATGATTGCCCCAATTCCATTTCCATAGGAATTCACAGCTCCGTCAAATATCAAACCCCAACGGGATTCAGGATCAGGTCCTTCTTCAGGTAACGGCTCTTCACAGTCTTTAGCTTTCAAGTACATAACATCTTCATCTGGGAAATCAAACTTGATGGATTGATAGTCTTCAATTGGTTGGTGAGCCAAATGATCAGCTAAAATACTCCCTTTGATCGCTTTCTGAGTGTGATACTCAATGTCATATTCTGATAACAACATCTGCCAACGGGCTATCCTTCCAGATAAGGCGGGCTTCTCAAAGATATACTTGATCGGGTCCATTTTGGAGATCAACCAAGTAGTGTGATTAATCATATACTGGCGCAGACGGCGAGCAGCCCAGGCTAAAGCACAACAGGTTTTCTCAAGTAATGAGTACCGAGACTCACAGTCCGTGAATTTCTTACTCAGATAGTATACCGCATGCTCCTTTCTTCCAGTCTCGTCTTGCTGGCCAAGCACACATCCCATGGAGTCTTCTAATATGGTCAAGTACATAATCAAAGGTCTTCCTTCCACCGGAGGAATCAAAATGGGAGGTTCAAGAAAATATTCTTTGATACTATCGAAAGCTTTCTGACAATCTTCTGTCCACACACATCCTTGGTTCTTGCGGAGAAGTTTGAAAATCGGCCCACAGGTAGCAGTCATATGAGATATAAATCTAGAAATGTAGTTCAGTCTCCCAAGGAATCCTCTTACTTGTTTTTCCGTCTTGGGTGCGGGCATTTCCCGAATAGCTTTGACTTTATCAGGATCTACTTCAATACCTTTCTGACTGACAATGAAACCTAGAAGTCTTCCAGAACGAACACCAAAAGTACACTTGTTGGGATTCAGACGGAGTTTGTACTTTCTCAAACGCTGGAATAACTTCAACAAATGTTCCAAGTGATCCTCCTCAGTCTGCGATTTGGCAATCATATCATCCACATACACTTCGATCTCCTTATGCATCATGTCATGGAACAAAGCAGTCATGTCCCTTTGGTATGTTGCACCAGCATTCCTCAAACCAAACGGCATAACCCGATAACAGAAAGTTCCCCAAGGTGTAATGAAAGCGGTCTTTTCCATATCTTCCGTCGCCATCTTGATTTGATTGTAACCGGAGAAACCATCCATGAAAGAAAAGACTTTGAACTTGGCGGTACTGTCGACCAATACGTCAATATGAGGTAATGGGAAATCATCCTTCGGACTAGCTCTATTCAGATCTCTGTAGTCTACACACATCCGAACTTTGCCATCTTTCTTAGCAACAGGCACGATGTTGGCTAACCATTGAGGATAGACCGATGTAACAAGGAAACCTGCGTTGATTTGTTTCTGAACTTCCTCTTTGATCTTGTCAGCCATGTCAGGGCGAGTCCTTCTCAACTTCTGCTTGATCGGTGGACACTCGGGTCTCAACGGTAAACGATGCTCCACAATGTCGTTGTCCAACCCTGGCATATCTTGGTAGGACCAAGCAAACACGTCAACATACTCTCTGAGAAGCTCCAACATTTTCTCCTTAACTTCCGAGATAAGCAACGCTCCGACTTTGACTTCCTTTCTATCCTCTTCATCACCCTAGTTGACCAACTCTACAGGTTCTTCAAATGGTTGAATGATCTTCTCATCCCGCTCAAGCAAACGGGAAATCTCAACAGGAACCTCTTCATCATCCCCTTCTTCGGCTCTGAACACAGGGAATTCAAAGTTGGGAGAGGGCATAGGATCATTGTTTTCGATGGTTAAGTCATGAAGTAATCTGCACACATGATTATGCTTTATTTCATAAATCGATTTGTGCAAATAAAACAAGATGTTATTAATTAATTTTCATTGTTATTTCCCAGAAAAAGTGAAAAGTAAAACAGCAGTGGACAAAATAACATTTTTATTCATTAAAAGGGAAATACTTGAAACAAAAAGCCCAGACATTTCTCTTTTGCCTTGGGCAGAGCAAAAGGAATTATTTTCATCATAGCCCGACACAAAATACTTTTCGCCTTGGGCAGAGCAATTTTTTTCAAAAAACGTTACTCAGAAATATGCATCACAACAGGAACATCAACAGCAATCCAGTTCTGGCAAACCACTCCATGCGTTACAAAATCCAGTTTTAGAAAACATGTGAAGTGGAATGTTGGATGATGCATGATATGCAAAAGAGAGTTTTTATTTGATCTTCACGGGACTCAAGATATTAAGTTGTAAACATCAAAGTGTGAAGATAGAAGATGAACTTTGAATTGGATCAAAGCGTTGATCAAGTTATCATCAAGATCAATCATCCATTTTGGTGGATTAGGGTTTTCACCCTATCAACACCCAAGATCCATTGAGCTTGACGAAACTTGTGATGTTTACAAAGAAAGACCTCCAAATTCCTTGAAAGTCAAGGGAAAAGGGTTTTATGGATGCATGAATGCATGGCTATGCAACAACCACAAGCAAGGTCACAAACATGGGGTTTAAAGGTTTAACGTTTCAGCATGGAGTCAAGGGTAAAGCCCACCCAAAGGTATGTACTAGTGGTTCAATCGCACCTGTAAGACAATGTTCTAAGAGTTCCCAGAGTCTACATTCCTCCTTCGGATATTGCCAACGTCTTGATTACTCGATAATTAGCAATATTCTCAAGAGAAACTCATCCGAGCGTAGCATCGCGTAACAACTACTTCCGAATTACTCCGTTATAGTCTCCGCGCTACACCTAAAAAGGCCAAGATGGGTTAGGGTTCTACGGTCCTCAACTTCTCGGGCTCCTAGGTCGAAAATAATAATGTCTTCCCGATTACTCGGTAAACAAATATTAAGTTCAAGAGGGCCTTCCATTGAGTGGGGGATCTCATGCCTCCTTCTTCGGGATTACTCCCTCAAAGTTAACATGACTATACCGCCCGTCCTATTCCTTAAGTGTTACTTAATTCGGGTATAGGATTCGTCCTTTGCAAAAAAAACCCAAACACCCCAATTTAAACATATAATCAAGCAAATCAAATAATAGTAAACAGATAAAACAAATTAGGCTTAACCCACTTAGGGATGGACCAGCAAGAGGTCAATCTCTTTAACTTTCCCCAGCAGAGTCGCCAATTCTGTAGCGATAAAAAATGTAGCGGGGTAAATCGGAGATCGAATTATTGATTAATTCGTCTCGTAAAAGCAAGAGTCGCCACCGCGCTTTATTATTTCCAAGGGAAAAGGGGAAAGAGCGAAATAAAACCCTAAATATGCAATGTAAAATAATACTTTTAAAAAAGTAAAAATACAAGGCGTTTTGAAAAGAGATCTTATGGTTCGGGGGTTGGTTATACAGTGGGAAGGTATTAGCACCCAATGTATCTATAGTACTCTATAGGAACCTTTTGAAATATCTGTTTATTAAAATGTTCGTTTGATTAAAATAAATTGTTTTGGCCGAAAAGGGGTACGGACGGGTTTTTGAAGGTGCGACGACCTAATGTCGAAGTTTTGACTTAAAAGGTATAAGTTTTGGAAAAGATTGAAGATTTGGAAAAATTATCTTAAGTTTTTGATGAATGAGGGTATTCGCACGATGTTTTTTTTGATGACATAAAGTCGACAAAAAATTAGACAATTCCCTTGGATTGAAACGGACGAGAGATACAAAGATTACATGATCGAAAAGAGATTAAACAACTAACAATTAATCAAAATAAAATAAAACAATTATAATATATTTTTTATGGCGCAAACAAAATATAAAGCTCAAATAATCGAAAAAGAAATTAAACAGCTAACAACTAATCAAAATAAAAGAAAGACAATTATAATAATTTTTACGATATTTTTTTATGAGGTAAAATAATTAAATATAAACCTATTTTTATATATTTGTATTTTTTGGGGAAATTTTAAATAATAAGACAAAGTTAACTGGCCTAAAACAAAAGGGTGAAAAAAAAAGAATAAATAGATTTCAATAGGAATCGAACTTAGGACCCCAAGCATGTCAAACTAACGTGCTAACCAACACACCATACTACTCATTCGTTATTTACCTTTTTATTAAGCTAAAAAATATATAAAAAAAAAGTAATGGAAATGGGTTATCAACCCAATGGGTCAACCCAATTGGGAGAAGAATAGAAAGGTTTTTTTTAGGAACCCTAAATAAAGAGCCGCCGCTGGCTATTAGCTTGGGAAGAAAAAAATTATAATTAATTAATTTCCCTAGAAACCAATTACTCTATCTCTCTCTTCTATTCATAAATTAACCGTAAACAAACGCAAACTCTCAGTTTTTCAAGATCTACTCTTATAGATAGATTTCAAACCCCTTTTCTCTTCTCATTCCAAATTCTCATTCATTCAACAAAGAGAAAAATTTGAATAAATTTCACATCGGTATTATTTTAATCTCCGTTACGATGAAATCACTGTTCAACCGAAAACCCATCGTCATCCTCAACGGCATCACGCTCAACCTCACTGTTCGTGCATACACGCGCGCGCCTGGCCGGGGAACTGGAAGAAGTATTCAAGAAATTCGACGTCAATGGCGACGGGAAGATCTCGGCCTCCGAGCTGGGATCCATAATGGGAAGCTTAGGGCAGCCGACAAGCGATGAAGAACTGAACAACATGATCCGCGAGGTCGACGGAGACGGCGACGGTTGTATAAGCTTACCGGAATTCATTGAGTTGAATATGAAAGGTGTTGATTCAGACGAGATCTTGGAGAATCTGAAGGACGCGTTTGCGGTTTTTGATATGGATGGGAACGGGTCGATTACGGCAGAGAAGCTGAATACGGTTATGAGGGATTTAGGGGAGTAGTTCAGACAGGTAGATGAAGATGACAGTGAATTTGGGTTTTTGCAAAGGGTTAAGGGTTTTCAATTTCAGGTACAAGTTTTTTTTTCTAATCTCAGCATCTTTTCTTCTACTCCGTTTTCCCTATGATTTTGAATGTTTTGTTGATGTTTGTAGAGATGAACTATGAATGTTGGCTTAGGATGATATGATAACAGAGGAGGGAGGTCGAATATCACAGTGATCCACTTGTTTGGAAGAACAAGTGGAGGGGGTTTGTTGTTCGTGGCAGAACAGAGGGAGAGTAAAGTAAAGTTCAAGGATGATGATTTTTTTAGAGGGTTCCAGAATTGTGCAGAGATTTGACGTTTGAAATATACAGGGTGTATTGAAGATCTAAAAACGGCGAAGTACTTTTCTATTTTTCCTACTGATCTCTCTCTTCTCGTCTATGATCTCCAATATCAGTATGTTTATTTCTGGTTATTGGCCTCTATTTTTATAGTTTATAGATTTGTGAAAAAAAAGTATTGAAGTTTTATGAGGATTTATGTATTTAAGATGTGAATTCTCAATTTTCAACTCAAAATTCTTACTCTTTATTTTCTATCTTTTGAAAACAGCAGCAATGATTTTTTTATTTTTTCAGGTTCACTTGGTTTGATATCACAGCAGTTCCATAGTTTCACAATTACAACGAAATCAAGATAAATAGTAACTACAGCAACAAACAACAACAGGGCATGGTAATAAATAGAAGGGCATATAAAGAAGAAAGACTCACCCGATCAACGCTAGTCTGACGAGTTCCCGTTTCTAAAAAAAAAACCTTCGACAGGTAAACTAAAATTTCTCCCCCTTTTCTTTCTGAGATTTGTTGAAATTGAAACTAAAAAAAATTGTTGCACTGAAGGTTGTTGTTGTTCGACAGTAAATGGAGTATATCACAAGAGAAGAAGATGGAGGGATTTTTGGTTGAGAATTGTAGAGATTTCCTTGTTGTTATTGTTGGATGAAGTGGTGAAACAGAGAGAATATTGTGGAGTATTTTGAAAGAAGTTAGCAGTTGTTGGTGGTTTTTCCTGTGTAGTTTTTTCTGTGTAATGTATTCTCCTTTATAATGGGACAATCTGGTTTCTTTCTGGTGTGAACAAGTTTGGTTTTTTGAATAAACATTATTACGTTACCGTTTTTTTGGACTGTTATGACAGGTTGGTAGCAAGTTTTAGTACAGGGCAGCAGCATGACATGTTGACAGCAGCATAACATGGATATATTGTAGCATGAAGAGAATGGTCCCAAATTGATTTCTTATTATGACAAAACAACAAAAACTATTGAAACACAATAATAATAATAATAATAATAATAATAATAATAATAATAATAATAATAATAATAATAATAATAATAATAATAATAATAATAATAATAATAATAATAATAATAATAAAAGGAAAAAGATTAAACTAAAATTTGCAAAGAACAATAAAAGAAATTATAATTAATTTTAATTTTAACAATAACCCAACTTAACAATTGAATTAAAATCAGAATCAAATCAAGACTAATATTGAAAGAAAGAAGCAAAAATTATAATAACTAAAAGAATAAAAGGAAAATATATTAACTATATATTTTATGATTTTTGAATTAAAGTGAAATGCTAAAATAAAATAATGATAACACATATTTTTTTGAGATTTTTTTACTAAATTAAATCTAAAAGATTATAATTTTGGCTTAAATGATACAAGAACAAAAACTAAATGAAACTTAAGGAAACTAATTTTTTTATTTTGAATATTTTGAATAAAAAACATAAATAAAATGAAAATAGCATGAACTAAATATTTTTTTAGGATTTCTTTTTTATGGAAATAAGAATAAAAGAAAGATGATGTAAAATGTATGGTCGGACAAAACATAGTCCAAAATTAAGAATCAAATTCCTGAAACGACTTCTAACGTTAACAATTTCGTGGCTTCTCAATGCATAATTTGCCCTTGACTTGTAAAGGAAAGTTGTAGATGATGTCAAGAAAAAACAGGTGCAAGAACAACCTCTCAAAAATGTCGAAATCCGAAGAAGTTATGAAATCTTGAAATCTGACCCGAGAAATGGCAAAAAAAGGTCGAATCGCTTGTGAACACTCGCTATGTGATAATGCAGATGGGAGGTGGGATCTTAGGTCAAAATTTGGGGTACAACAGTAACCGACTGTGAAGAACCTGGACCGGATGAAGGACCTGATGAAGGATCCCGATGGTCTATGTATTTTGATGGAGCCTCAAACGCACTAGGTAATAGTATTGGCATTGTAATCGTATCTCCCGAGGGCTGTCATACTCCGTTCACTACCCAATTATGTTTCAACTATACCAACAACATGGTAGAGTATGCAGCATGTGTTATGGGTCTTAGAGCTGCTATTGACCTAAGGATCAAGTTCTTGAGTGTATTTGGGGATTCCACTTTGGTGATAAGTCATATCAAAGGCGAGTGGGATACGAAGCACCATAACCTTATTCCTTACAAAGAGTATGTACTGACACTGCTGCCGCATTTTGAAGAGATCACCTTTGAACATTTCCCATGAGAAGAGAATCAGTTAGCGGACGCGCTAGCTACTATGTCGGCAATGTTCAAGGTCAGGTGGGACAATGAAGCTCCCCTAATCACTATTAAGAGGTTGGATGAACCGGCATACTGTTGTGAGATTGATACTGAGGAGGTAGCCGACAAACCTTGGTTTCATGAGGTGAAAAGGTATCTCGAGGCTCAAGAATACCCCGAGGGGGCATCTGTCAATGACAAGAAATTTATGAGAAGGTTTGCTGCAAAGTTCTTCCTCAGCAATGGAATCCTCTATAAGCGCAATCATGACTCTACCTTACTACGGTGTGTAGACAAGAGCAAAGCAGAGAGGATCATGGCAGACCTACACGAAGGTACCTTTGGCACTCATTCCAGTGGACATACCATGGCAGAGAAGATCCTACGGGCAGGATACTATTGGTCCACTATGGAAGCCGACTGTTATCAGCACTCTCGAACCTGTCATAAGTTCCAAATCTATGATGATAAGGTGCATGTACCTCTAGTTCCCTTGAATGTTTTGACAGCTCCCTGGCCCTTCACAATGTGGGGTATTGTCATGATCGGCGATATCAGACCTACCGCGTCCAACGGACATTGCTTCATCCTAGTGGCCATTGATTACTTCACGAAGTGGGTTGAGGCTGCCTCCTTTGCTACCTTTACTTAGAATGTGGTGGCACAGTTCATCAAGCATAACTTGGTTTGTCGTTATGGTATCCCTGAGAGAATTATCACGGAAAACTGCACCAATCTCAACAACTCGATGATCACTGAACTCTATAAACTGTTCAAGATTCAGCATCACAACTCTTCTCCTCACCGGCCAAAGATGAATGGGGCTGTTGAAGCTGCTAACAAGAATATCAAAAAGATCATACAGAAGATGACGGTGACATACAAAGACTGGCATGAGATGTTACCGTTTGCTCTTCACAGGTACTGTACTTCAGCACGTACGTCGATAGGGGAAACACCCTATTCTCTTGTATATGGCATATAGGTTATCCTACCCATAGAGGTCCAGATCCCTTCTCTATGGATTATGAAGGATGCGGGTTTGAGCAAAGACGACTGGATCCAGACTCGACTTGATCAATTGAACTTAATCGACGAGAAAAGACTTACTATTTTCTGCCATGGTCAAATGTATCAGAAACGAATGATCAAGGCCTTCAACAAGAAAGTCACAAGTGTATCAAGTAGGGGACGTGGTAGTCAAGCGCATTATACTGCCGCAAGGGGATCCCAGGGGAAAATGGACTCCCACCTATGAGGGACCATTTGTAGTGAAGAGCATATTTTCAGGTGGAGCTATGATTCTGACCACCATGGATGGTGACGACCTTCCACACCCTGTCAATGTGGACATAGTGAAAAGATACTACGCATAATAAAGACCTGCTAGGTTGACATGCCTAGGAAAAAATAAGGGCATCCCGACGAACCAAAAGGGTTCAGGCAAAAATTAGGGATAAAAAACGGAAAAAAATCTGTACACCCGGCAAGTCGAAAACTCGAAAGGGCGGCTTGGGCAAAAAAGGGTATCCCGATGGACTGAAAACCCGAAAGGGCGGTCCAGGAAAAAAGTTAAGGATTAAAGCGTATCACTATGTCCCATTGGATCACCTTGCGATCAGACTTCAGTAATCAAATATCAAGCTCAAACGGTGTCGATTAATCTAGTCAGCTTCAGACAAGCAACAAAGTGATGATATGCTCGAAGACATAGGGACAATAGCAGAATTAAAACCCAATGGGATCACTACACATAACTGTTTACTTTTTGTACACAATTTCTGTAATAATTTCCATTTTTTACAGCGGCATTCTCTTACTAGAGCGTCAGCCTCCTTGTAAAAAAACGCCTGTTATAGGCAAAAATTCAAATCAATACAAAGCGTCTTTTGAGTACAAAACTCTGTGTTTGTTTTTCTGTTTTCTGTTTTGTTTTGCAAAAACGTCCAATGTTTTATTCTTGACATATGCATTTGAATATGATTATTGTTCACAAATATCTGCATATAAAAAAGAAAGACAGTTACTAAGAACTCAAAGAAACTAGTACAAAACCTAAATACCGACAGTTACCCCGTCCTTCATGGTACAAGGGGTAGAGATAGTTGGAAGCGAAGTCACTATCACGTATAAGCCAGTGATACCTAGACTCCCTGCAGAGCCGAGACAACCAAGGTCCGACTGATGGGGGCTGTATTATCTGTAACGTATAGCCTAAATATAGTACTGCAAGTGTACAGCCTATCGAAGTAATATATAAGATTATCGAACCACAGAGACCAATTGTCAATCTATCAACTCTATTGCTAAGGTGCTTATCTAAGGCGAATAAGGATATTGATGTGAGTGCAGTGCACAAAGTAAATATGCGAGGGAAATAACAGTTTAAAAGACAGGTTGGAATGTAAATCATGTAATCAGATATTGGTCCGGTCATGCGTAGATGAACCTACTTATGGGGCAGTATTTTCTATTGATAGCAAAGAATCAGTTTAACGGGAACTTGTAGCTTTTGACTACTAAGAACCGAGTTTACTCTTTAAATTAAATTCCTTTATTGTCACATATAAAGGGTGCCTTCCGCGTTAAAGAGGTAAACCTATTTTTAAGAAATTGATAGTTTTGACTTAATAGAAAAGTGATCTTACTCGGAAAGATTAACTTAAAGAGACTTTTGGCTTTTGGCCAAGAGTCAGATTTTAAACCTACAAACGCGTCCGAAAATAGTTTCAAAATCGTTTTCTAAAAAGGGTCAATGATTCCTATTTAACCAATCAACGGCTGTCGCTCTTTTTGTTTGGTTAAATAATAATCAAGTCGTATCATCAGTTTGGACGGCTTTCGATCTTACCCAATTAAACATTTAAACACAATCGACTTAAGTTAGAAGCAAAACATCCCCAGAGTATTTTCACTAGCATGATAATTGGAACACAACCACGATGACAATCATTACATCCTAACCTTTATAGTTTAGCCAGACATAATAAGTGCGAGTCTATAAAACGTGTAGACTATGGTAAGAGCATTTAAAGTCTATAAAACGTGTAGACTATGGTAAGAGCA